TCCAAGTAGCCATTGAAAAGTCCACAAACGCAGTAAGCAATGATATTCAGATACTTAAAAACAGAAATCAGCCAATTAGGATGTTGCCTACTCGAAGCAGTTCAGTGCGTCCTGTGAGATCATTGAGTCGTGTGAACCCAAGCTGCGCCAAAAGTCGTCTCACATCTTCAGCCAGTAGGAAAAAGTAGTTTATGAGGTGTTCAGGGAGTCCAGCAAACTTCTTGCGCAGCACTGGATCCTGCGTGCAGATGCCCACAGGACAGGTGTTAAGGTGACACTTGCGCATCATTGTGCAGCCCAACACGATCAGCGGTGCTGTCGACATGGCAAACTCATCTGCGCCCAAGATGGCCGCTATCACCACATCACGGGCTGTAATGTGCGAGAAAATGACGCTTCACCAGAACATTAATGCTCTTGCCGACTATGCTTATATTCCTCAAAATGTTGGCAGTTATTTCAGCCCTTTAAAAAAGGTATAATGGCTTCAATGGTAGCACGAGAGTTGTTAACGTGGTTTAGCTCTCCCATTTCCTCTAAGCGTTTGTTACAAAACAGTGCAAGAAAGTATTAAACCCCAATTATTCATTCGCTGCTGCACTTTTAAAGATCTATCGCTACTCATTTCGCATAAAAGTTCCACATTCGAAATAAAAGCAGTGGCTTTCGGAACCGTCATACAAAAGACACTATAAGTGCCTCCAAACAAACTTCATGACTACGTTATAGGATTTGTAGAAGGATCATTTGTATGGACCTAAAAGAGTACACAACTACTAACATACATTGGAACCGCTCCTCACTGTCATTTGTTAAGCTTTTTAATTTTTTTTGCTATTAAACTGTCAGCGTCAGTTAAGTATGCCAAAATTTCAACTGACCTGCCAATCTAAATACCTAGTTTAAGATGACCAACTTTCGAAGACAGTGTCTTTGTTCATTACTCATTTTGACGTTAGCTGTTCCAAATAAGTCGCCAAATGGTCACACAAAATTTCAAATATGCCCACAATTTCATTAATGAAAGACTACTGACTCTATGAAGTTTCGTGGAAATAAAGATGGACCTATTTGTCGTAGATTCCATGCTGCATATTACTAGCTCCACCGCATTTAATACGAAATTCACATTGAATTCAACATGGGCAGGAGAAAAATAACAACGTCGATCATTGGTATTTTTCTTCGAGAAATTCGTCTTCCATTCGTTAGTCTGATGCAAAACGAAATCAACAATAGTTGGACCAATTAAAAGCGACTACGGGTAATAATTTTCTCTGTGTTTGGAAAAACAAAGAAACATATTTGGGATGGGCAAACACACCGTCTAGGCATATATGGACTTAATTGATAGTAACATTAAATTCTAACTGAAGCCAAGCAATAAGCAATGCCACTTCCAGCTTCAGAAATTACAACCTACCCGTTCTAATCTGTCCATCGGCCTGCAGGACGACTTTGGATCTCGTGTGATTGTTAACTAACACCTGATGTGTCTCTGCAATACCCAATTCCCACGGCAAACCCGCATTCTTTATGCCTGTCCAGGAACTGGCACCTGTTCCGCCATCATGTCCAGAAACTATTATGTGAGCCGCGTGAGCCTACAAGGTTGGTTTAAATATTGTCCGATGGTTGACAAAAGGATGCATTCACACAAAGTGTACTGAAAGTCGCTCACACAACAGGCTGAAGCAATATATGTATGGGTTCATTTGCTGCCGTTCTCTTTGGTTACCATATAACGCAACACAACGGAGCAAGACACAAAAAAGAATTTAACGGAGACGCTGAGAAAAGACAAACAGACAAAGACAATGTCTAACTAACAATATAACTATTGTGCTAAGTCAGTTAACCTGAAGTTGTCCGTGAGCCTAAAGAGGGGAGAGGCATTGTAGGTAGAGTTGACTAATATGAGAAGTAAAAGATAAAAGGCCAAAAGACGGCAGCCGAGGATCTTACTTTGGCGACTCCAGATGCGATCACTCCTACACCGACTTCAGAGACCAACTTGACACTGACCACAGCCACTGGATTAGCCGCTTTCAAATCGTAGATGAGCTAAAATGTTGGGCCAAATAAATTGTACCGACGATGATATTCCTAGTGAACATCTTAATTTACGATGCTTCACGTCCCTTTTAGACAAACATTTTAACCAAGAATATTTGGCCTAAGAACTACGTTTGGAGCGAGATGTTGTCTATCTGATGGGAATACTCACGAAAGTTATCTTTATATCCTTCAGAGGGATCATAAATTAACAAAACTTAGGGAATGTCCTGATGCGTAGCCTAGAAAAAGATCTAAAGGAAGAGGCGAGTATAAGGTAGAAACTTATAGATGTCCTTTCCTCAGGTAATTGCAACCATTCCTTCACTTCATCATAGCAGAGAAAAGCCCAAACTTCGGAACTGAAATCAATAACATGTAAGAGTGAAAGCTACCAAAGCATCGCCAGTGAGGCGATTTCAACATCCAATTTCAAATTTAGTACTGCAAAAAGAACTTTTTACTTAAATTCTTGTCTTAAGTAAATTGACGTTCATCAAAGATGTTTGATGAGTATTGGAGAGGCAAAAAATACCTGCAAAAAAGTGGACAAAGATGATTAAAATCGCTTACTTGAGCAAGATCTTCTATGGAGTATATGTCATGGTGAGGGGGTGGAGAAATAAGACCGACTCCAGGAACAGAATGACGCAGACGCGCGATCTCCGCGGTTACTTTATAGCCGGGCAACTCGCCCCCTTCACCGGGCTTTGCCCCTTGCGCCATCTTGATTTGCAGCATCTCCGCATGTGCAAGGTATGAGCTGTTCACACCAAAGCGTGCTGAAGCGACCTACAGCAATAGGTGAATTAACAAACTCTAATTGCGTCTCTTATATCCTCAACTCAACCAAAGGAATAGATTTAGTTTTCCCAAGCCTTCGCAATAAAAGTGTCACCCATCAAACACGTCCTTCAAATTCATTAGAATACCTGCACTAGTTCTCGCGGTACTGATTTTCATCCCTAAGTGTTCAATAATATCGGTGATTATTTTATGAAAGCCATGCGACATCATTATTACTATTCATGTTCCATGATTTTAATCATTTTAATCGTGCCACAAATCAAGTAACTGCAAATGATAGCTTATTTTCCTTATTTCTGAATTTTCCTACACGGAACCTCGTAAGTGACTTTTCTCAAGAAACGCCCGATTCTTCCATCTCTTACAGAACGTTACCACATTTCGTGGTACAAAAAACGTCAGCGTTGTTTATATGGATAGTCACTCGTTAGCTTCAATTGCACCAATAAGAATCCGCCTAAAGTTCCTCCCATTACACCAGTCCGACCACAGGCACGCCATATTCTTTCAAAATATTCCTTTACCTTATAGATTAACGGTTCTTAGACTCCAGTGGATCTACAATGAATTACTTGCAAGATGAGTGCAATTCTGGTACTCCACCTGTTTAATTGATGAACATAGGGAGGGATTGAGATATCGTTCAGGCAGTTCTCCACCCTCTCCGGTGTTCGAACGACCCCCAATGGCGTTCATAACCTTCGCGAGGGTGCTGTGCGTCTCTGGAGAGATGGATCCCAAACTCATGGCCCCTGTGGCAAACTTCTTCACAATCTCCGTGGCCGGCTCCACCAGGTCCACTGAGATGGGCTCTTCGGCAAAGCAAAAATCAAACTGGCCTCGTAGAGTGCAGTGGCGCGCCTGTTCATCAGCCGACTCGGAGAATTGACGAAAGATCTCACGGTTGTTATTATGTGATGCTGCCTGAAAGGAGTTAATGAAGAATTTAATAAACCAGAAGTTTTATTTAGCAGTTGACATTAATAAATTTTAAGTGAAAATTTTATTTCTGCCTTGCTTCATATTACGATAATGAATAAGAGCACTTTTGAACTTTCAGCAAGTGACAAGTGGCGTTCTTTTATCTTCATTTGGATGAGGCTACTAAATGATGTTACGGAAATGTACCTTATAGGTAGCAAGAGGGAAACCGCATCAAACCTGCCTTGCTTTGGATACTAGGCTCGTTCTAAAATTCCGCCTTCAGCACAAAGGGTGCATTTAAACAGCGCATACACATTACAGTAGCGCTTTGAGACCGAAGTTATTTTTTTAAAAATGAAAATGATCCTCCACAAAGAATAACGGCTGGTAAGGTCTCAGCGCAAAATGCCCCACAGACGATAAAATGAAATGCACTTATTTGAAAGTAAAAGAAGCGAATTCACCACTTATGTCTAACGATAACTTCATACGTATCGAAAATTTTTTCACAAAAAAACAAACAACACTTAGTTAGGCATAAACTTCTGCTTACAGAAAAAAAACATCCATATCACAAAGGAAGCCCTTGATTTAAACCCATGCCGATGATAAAGAACTTCAAAACCCATGCAAAGTTAAAATTTTTCACCAATTGCAAGAAAGAATTACTCAAGGTTAACAAGGTTTTGGAGAACTGGATGTGAGAATTACTCGAAGAGACGTGTTTATTTGGCATGATTTATTCGAAGATCGATAAAGAATCAGTAACTACGGCTTGCAATGCCTCTTGTCAATTTCTAAAAGAGCATTTTTAAGTATCCATGCTTAATCAAGTAATTGCCTTAAAGACTGAGCAAGTTTTAACAAAACGTTCGACTTAACACCTTGAATTGATTCGTAATGGTTTTGCTGGAGAGGCGAGGGACACAATTTCGGTACTGTTGTCATAAATTTTGCATTTCGAAATGGTTTCTACGGCGCATTTCCATGGAATGCCTCCATCTCTGTTCGGAAAATTGAGACTTAACGGAGATGTACAGCAAGCAGATTATATTTTTCAACCAAAATTGCCTTTGCCGATGAGGCTATTTTCAAGATAAAAAAGACATCGCGTTTTTGGTTCAAAATTCCACAAATGTCTTCTAACAAATGCATCCACAGTGCCAACTTTTAATGTAATTTCATGCTGAGGGCGTCATTGAATCGTCCCTCGCCAAAATACACCTTACAAGCTCATACAAGTTAACAATTTCCGCCATTGAGACATAGAATTTCGTTTTTAGTGTCCAAAGGGCAAGAAATGGATGTGGATTGACCATTTTGGTCATGCAATTAAGCACCGCTGGTAGTATCATTCTTCAAATTTTTCCGAGTGTAAGGTATATAATAAGCTCATCACCATTCGTGCTAAATCAACGAAATTCACTTGCAACTATGCAAGCGACAAATATTACAATAACAGGAATGTCAATAGGTGCCTGAAGACACATTGTAGTTTGCTCATAGCTCTCCTTTAAAAACAATCTGTTAAATGACAATGAATTATACAAAAGACAAGATTGTGTATCAACAAAGTGCCATAACAGTATTGAGACACTATTATTTGACAAACCTGAAGCTTTGCGATAGTGACGGGGTCATTCATGTGTCTCTCACCACCCGATCTCCAGTGATAGAGGCCAGTGTTTCGCGAAAAAGGACTATTGCCAGGCACTGAATCCAGCGCAACCTCTAGCGGTGATTCGATAGAAGCACCGTAAATGGCGTGCAGCTTCCCGAAGGCGTTTGCGTGACGCGAGCAAACCTCCTCGGCAAGGACGTCGAATCCGGCACCAGCGATTCGTGAAACGGTTCCAGTAAAACACATATCAACCACTTCTTGCGCCAAACCGACAGCCTCAAATATTTGGGCCGCCTTGTACGATTGCAGTGTAGAAATCCCCATCTTGGCCATAACCTAAGAAGGAAACGCGCCCAGCCGGACTAGAACTACTTACGCATTTGTGAGTAGAAATATATACCCATTGGCTACCTTTAGAATTCCGGAGCCGACGGCTTTTACATAGTTCTTGAAGAAGCCCTCGTCGCTAACTTTCTCAACATCCACTCCACTTGAAGTAAGCATTCCTTCACTGCGAAGACGTTGAAGGGTCTCAAAAACCATGTAGGGACAGATGGCGTCAGCGCCAAAGCTCAGCAAAGTGCAGAAGTGATGTACCTCTCTAAAGTAACGTTAACTATACTTAAGAAAATTCAGCTCATGAAACGAAGCTTTATTTAGTAGCTTTTGAAGCTACTATTCAGTCTTTACAAAAATAAAAAAAATTAGTCCGCATCCAGGTTCACTTATCGCCACAACGCTATTCAACTCAGCTTTAGAGGGATTCAGGTATCTAACTACCGATATTAGTTTCACATTATCTAGCTAACACCTTAAGTTTTGCCAACCGGCTTGTATTGATTCTCGAAGCCACCAACGTAGGCCACATCATCGAAACTCAACAATCGAACAACGCAAAGACACCCAAACTTGAAGGTAATGCTTCAGAATTGTGATGGGATTATGACAGTAAGGAATTTACTGCTCATTACATCTCTTCTAATCAGCCCAATGCAGTTGTGGAGATCATCCACTCAACAAATTACCTAGCATCTCCAGACTCCACCACCAGTCCAACCTTCATCCTGAGATCTACTTTAAGCAGGTGCTGGTGAACTGCTCCGAGAGCCAGTAATGAGGGCACCGGAACCGTGTCCTTACTCAGTCTTCGATCGCTAATAATGATGATGCTCACTCCTTCATCCCGTACAACTTTTTCGGCAGCGACACAGAGCGCCTCCAACGCTTCGCGCATCAGTCCACCCAAATCCATCGGTCGGATACCAGGGTAGAGGGTAAAAGAAGCTTCAAGTAGACGCGAACGCCAGGTATATACCTGTGATGTGCGCAATGTTGACATCTTAGACGACGGTAAAGGAGACTGCAGCCTCCGAAAGAGAAGTATGTCATTGAGGGAGAGAATGGGCTGAGAAAGCCATAGACGGTGAGCCTGCAGGGGACTGGGTTCGAGAACATTCGCTTCGGGTCCAATGGGACAGGCCTGAAATGTTAGCAAGCACAATACAATAGGTCCATAAAGAAATATAAAATTTCGCTTGAATAAGTGAAGCAAATTATACCATGAATACGCCCAGCTTCGACTAAAATGAAATTCTCTGCCACCTCATCAATTCGAATTACTTGTTCGAGAAAAATTTTTGTAATTATTGATGATAGGGATGTTAAAACAGAAGATTATTGTTAGACATTAGCTTCTGGTCAGACGGAAAGGGGAATAACACTAGTCCCTAATTTGTTACCCAGCTAATTCTGAAAGTACAGAAGGAAATAAAGAGCGTTATTTCTGACAAAAAAGGAGAGTTCGGAAAAGCAGCGGTGCCAGTTCTTAAACAGCTACATCGGCACTACTTTTAATGCTGAGACACCAATCTCGATAAAGTATTTAGGAGCGGATACCCACACTTAAAAGTACTGTATCCTTTGGTCCCAATGAGAATAACAAAATGCCATGCAACAAACGCAGGATAGGGTCAGCCCCAGTAAGGAACATTAACATTAACATAAGATAACATTGGTCAACTTTCCAGGCAAATGCGCATAACTAAGGATGAACACCACAGAGGATGTACATTTAGGTCATGGTGAAGGTAACCTACCAGAGACATGACAATCCTCTCCCGAAGTGGATCAATCGGAGGGTTCGTGACTTGTGCGAAGAGCTGCTTGAAGTACTCATAGATTAGAGGGTCATGTTCGGAGAGACAGGCCAGAGGAGTGTCGTTTCCCATGGAACCCAATGCCTCCTTCCTGTAAAACATGTAAGGTTAAACGCAATTACGACATTATTTTAAAACCTATATTTACGAAGAAAATGGATGGAGACAGTGCAAGTGCGCACCGCACGCCAATAATGTGGGCTGCAGAACTCTTAATAATTATTTTTAGAACATTAACTACATTATTACCATCTGGAGCTCAGTCGGATTGAAAAAAACCACAAGTATGAAGCGATCAAGGCCGTTCAAGGTTTACTTTTGACGTTTTACTAAGGCTGAATACTAGAGTGGAGCCTCTTTAATTGCTTAATTGATACACTTAAAATCGTGTCTAATGGCAATAACGATTGTCACAATGAAATGGATTCTAAATGCTTTGATAGATCAAATAAGCGAGTTGAGATTATTGTATTGTTTCAAATGGCTTATAGAACAAACCAGCTCTCATCAGAACGATTTATATTTATTATCGAGAATTCGGCAAAACGCTTTGCTTAAATATTCAAAACAAATTAGTTCCTTTCATGCAAGCTTGAAAAGTGATGGTCAAAGAACATTGAGTGCTAACGTACTGGTTGACTAGCATGGGCAGAAGAAGCATGCTTAAATTCTCCGGTGTGAATCCGAACAGCGCCAAACGCGGGTCATGAGCGAGAAATTGCGGATATGTGGCCGCCTCACCGTTGTTGTTGACAGTGGTTTCAGTCCCCGCATGCAAAGAGAATTTCTCAGCTTCCTCAGTATCTACCGGTCCTCGGGCTTCGTGTAATTGTTCCAGATCTACCGCCTGAAATAAGATAAACTTTCAAA